TTTTATTTAGAACTTGGTTATAAATACAACCTTCCCATGTCTATTAGAACACAGTATTGGAAAAACAAATAACGAAAAACTTTTCAAAAAAAGAAAGTAAATGTAGGGTTGGCTAATATCAATCCTTCAAAACAATGCAAACAAGATAGTAGAGATGGCACTTGCATCAACCTACATAATAGTACAGGTAAGAATTAACATATATATATATATATATATATAACTAATCAGTCACAATTTAGTTTAATTTATCCTATTTTTTCTGTTAACATTCTATTATACTGTGTGTCTATTATGTATGGATGATGCAAATGCCATTCCCGCTATTTTGTTCGCATTGTTTTGTTTGTTTTTTGAGCATTTTTGGTGGGATTGGGATTCGAACCCGCGACCCTCAGATTGCGAGTCGAGCGCCCTAACCAGCATTGTTTTTGAAGGATTGATATTAGCCATCCCTACATTTACTTCATTTTTCAAAACTTTTTCTTTATTTATATAAATAACAACGAAATCAGGTTGTCGATTTCTTATGTTAGTTAGGAGGTGCCATGTTTCTCTTGTCATACTTTGTAATTCACTTAATTTGTTACTAAAACAAAGAAGAATTTAAAATTCTGGAGAAGACGAATGAAGTGAAACATCTAATTTACTGAACGTTTTATTATTATCTTTTTTGTACTGTTTTATTAATTTTTTCTCTAGTTTAGTTAAAGTAGCGTTTTATGTTTTTAATATGTCATATTTAAAAAATAATATATGGGTTACGTTTTTTTTTTTTTTGCCAGTTGTCGAAATACATGGCTTTTACTTATATTTCTTAATAGTATAAATATATACTATGTTGTTGTTGGGCTCCGGATTTTTCTACAGTAGGTGTCTGTAACTTGTTAGCGATAAATTCAACGATGAATAAACAGTACACACTTTACTTGTTTTCAAATAATATATTCACACTATAGAGAATATAAGCATATCGTAAACGTTATATCAGTATACGAGGCCTGTGAGAAAAGTATCCAACCTTTGGCCGGGGAATAAAAACTGGCATACCTGGAGCGTTGGAAACCTAATCACCCTCAAAGTAGTTTCCTTGGGACTCCACACACTTCTCCCAGCGGTGCCGCCATTGTTGGAAGCATTCCGAGAAAGCCTCTTTCGAAATGGAGTTTAGCTCGGCTGTCGTTGCAGCCATAATGTCCTCTCTTGTCTGAAATCGCGTTCCTTTCAATGACCACGAGTACGCACCACAGGGTCAAACAATCACCAAAGAGTACTACAGGGATGTCCTCCGTCGCCTACGTGATGCTGTGCGGCGCAAGAGACCGGAGTTGTGGTCAACAGGAAATTGGCGCCTCCATCACGACAATGCTCCCAGCACATTCCTCGCACTTGATTCAGACTTTGTTGGCGAAAAACTCCATTTCGAAAGAGGCTTTCTCGGAATGCTTCCAACAATGGCGGCACCGCTGGGAGAAGTGTGTGGAGTCCCAAGGAGACTACTTTGAGGGTGATTAGGTTTCCAACTCTCCAGGTATGCCAATTTTTATTCCCCGGCCAAAGGTCAGATACTTTTCTCACAGGCCTCGTATGTACTAAATTTCTTGCATTTTATGCATATTCTTTATTTATTGTTATAAAAGTAACTAAAATGTAAAAAATAATTAATGTCTTCATGAGGTATGCATTCAAGAACTTGTATAAATAAGACAATTTGTAAGCATAATGAAATATTTTAATACATACTACATGTTTCAACAGAAAATTGGTCTGTCTGCCTTCTCAATGGTCTGTTGAAACATGTAGTATGTTTTAAAATATTTGATTATGCTTAGAAATCAGTCTCTTGTTTAGACAAGTCACAAAGCATAATGTGCTTTCCTACAAAAATATGTATGTGAGAAGGTCATGTGTTACATAATTAAATACTGTAACTAACGCTATGCCTTCTTCAGGAGATTTCTAGCTTATTACGCAGGCTTAATAGTTAAGCATGATTCAAAGAGTAATAAAACAATAAATAAAAACAGATGTAAATTGTTACAAGTCTTAAGATGTTTAGGATAAATAATTGTAATTTTTTGTTACAATCCGCAGTCATTCTCGAGAGAATAAAAAGGTAATTTCCCTTTATTTTGTATTTTTTTGTGGAGGTTATAAAGTCAGTCAAATGGAAGGAGTTTGTATAGGGTTACGGTAAAGAAAATGACAGACAAATTATAACTTTACTGAAAGAAAAACTGATATTCATTTAGGAGGTTCTAAACGTTATGCAAATGAAATGTGAAAAAAGTGCATCTAATCATAACATAAAAATCATTTTGCACTCAAACTAGGCAGACTCTACTTCATATATTCATAGAGATTTCTTTAGTAAAAGTATTAATTTAAAAAAATCTGACATTAAAAGTTGTAGGATGTAGAGTGTTATGGTTAACTGGTGGTTACAGTGTGGTTGCCGGGTTGGTCAAAATGGCAAAACCTGTACGGAGAGGGTTAAATACTAAATATTAAAAAGTGTTGATTTATTTTACCTTATTTGTTCGGGAGAACCTCCCGACGTAGCATTTGTTATAGCCCACGCTGCCTCTTTTCTGGTTTTGAACTCAGCTTTTCCCAGAATTTCAATTAGAACAGGAAATATATTGGTATCTATAACTGCCTAGAAGAAAATATCAATTAATCAAAAACTAGTAATTAACCAGGTATCATATAAACTTGGAAAGTTCATTCAATAAAACCTTACAATTTATCTTAAAAAGTACAAAAAATAAATTAAAATAATATTCAAAGAGAATAACAACAGTGGAATTCTGATGGCTCTGAAGGCATAGTTTACAAAAAGCATTCCAAGTGCCACAAAGTTTTTAAATTTACTGTAGGACTAATGAACAGCTTACCAGTTGTGAAAATATTAGTTATTTGTAATAAAACTGTTATTAAACACAAGAAAATCCTATGATTTCCAATCCACTAGATAGAATCTAAAAATCGGTGGCTACTATAATGGTAAAAAAACGAAACAAGTTGTCTCAAAAATACAAGCTCACACTGCAGCATCAAATAATTTTATTATGTGGAACTACTACACTACGTATCTTAAAAATCTTTAATTTCTTTGTTAGCCACTGTCATTGTTTTTATTTATTATAAAGCAGCACAAGTAAATGAGCCTGACCTGTATTTGCTGTCTATTTCCTGCTGTTATGTTGGATATCGTCCAGCAAGCTTCTTTTCGAATTGACTCTTTAGACGAAGAGAGTAGGTGAAGTAGACAAGGAAGAGCGTTACAATTCAGCATCACTTGCGTCTGAATATCATCGCCTGTTACTATGTTTCCTACCGCCCTCAGAGCTGCTGATACCACATTCTGGTTACTGTGCCTGAAAGAAAATGAGTCGCACTAGAAACTTCGTCAAAACGACTTTTTCTGAGCTGCCAATAAAACAGCTGAAACATGTAAGAATTTTGAAATGTTTAAGATCATTTGAACTTATTCAGTATCGTGAACAAAACTGATGAATAAATGGATTTGTTTTGAGTTTACTTACTGACAAATTATATTGTATTACAAGTTACAGCTTTTACAATAAGAAAGTTTTGTTTTTAGAACTAGTATGATGTTTCGATCACTTGTGCGATCATTTTCAAAAACCTGTGTACTTGAGAATGATTGTATCAGTAATTGAAGTATCATATCTGTTTTGAAAACAAATCTTACTTACTGTAAAAGCTGTAACTTGTAATATAATAAAACTGTTGTTGACTGAAAATTATCTTATACTAGCCTATAGCCCATCAAAAATGATAGGGCAAGTATTACCACCCCCACCCCATAGTATACCTTATTTATAGAATAATTAATGGTAAAAATCAGTTAGATTAACAACTTCTAATATATAGAAAATACAATGCATTTTTGTAACACTGGGTTTTAACGATGACTATATTATCATGTTGCTTAGCAACAAAAGTATAACCTATTTCTTAGGTTGTCATGCATATTCTACTAAAAATGCACTGAAACTGATCAATATTCAGGCTTAACAATCACTGGATTAGGCTGGCCTATTACTGTGAGACTAGCCTCAGCATGTTCGAGTAGGAATAAGTAGCACTAAATAAACATATATGATGAAAAAGCTTCTCTAACATTTTTCTTTGTTTATAAGGTAGTAGTATGCCACTTTCAAAATACTCCACAGCCTTTTGTGTTATTTTTCACTCTCATATAGTTTTGTGTGTATTTTCAAACCAATACAAACAACTATAACACTGCCCTTACACATAACACAGGCCTGCGATGGTTTTATTTTCTTGTAATTTTTATGTTCTACATTAATTCATTTACATTGAATCCAAAAATATCCATTTTTCTCCATAATGCACAGATTTTTCACAAAGCGTCATAACGCAATACATAAAAGAAAGACCACAACACATAGTTTTGAGACTAAAAGACGTAGACTTCATAAAAAATTCAGGATGAATGAGAATGCATATTCATTTGACATCAATGTTCTTCCCTCTTCTCCAGTTTGTTTGTATTTTTGTTAACAAACATAATAATAAAAAATGTTCATTGTGGTAAAAGAAATAATAATTTGATCTAAGTAAGAGTTTTTTTAAGTCCAGATTTGTAAAAAAATCCTTACGTGATAGAAAAAAAAATATTGCATTTTTGAAGTCTGCGTAGCTGAATTGTGGAAAATCCATTATTAAAACCAAAACAACTTTTGTGAAGTTTAAATTTGCAGATCTGTGTTATTAGAGTTCCATAGAACAAATGATTATTCATTTATTTTAAAAAAAAGTTACATTATATTTTAGTCTAAATTATGTGTATTTGATGATGATTACACCAGTAATCAAATCATCATACAGATTTTTAAAAACTTTTTGTAAAAACCCAATGCAAAGCTGTTATTTTTTCAAATATATTTAGATAACATTCGTAGAATTTGATAATATAACAAGCATCTCAACCACTAACGTGTCTCTTGTATCCCTGTCTGTATGATGAGCCTTGGTATTGGGTAAAACACGTGTAGCTGGCACAGGATATAGAAGATATGGTATGGTTCACACAGTGTTATACATTATTCTTTAGTTTCAATCATAAGGTATGAGAATTTACAAAAAAATAAATCACACTAAAAACAATGACAAAGAAATGGAGGTTATTAAACCTATTAAAAATGCGTAACATGTAAGTTGCTGGAAGTATGCAGAGTTTACTCTAAAAATAAAGGTGGATTCCCGGGCCAACAGTTATTACCCGAAAAATGTTATATTTTGAATGGTATGTATTTCGCTTCAAGTAACTATGTAAATTTTTCAAATTTATACCATTTCAAAGTATTTTAATTTGCGTTTCTCCAATTTGTTTATAATGAATCACTTGTAGGTTAGTTTTTGAAAAATGAGCGAAGGTTGTGAATATTCCCCGTCAAACACTCCACAGAGGCTGTTAGCATTTTTTTCCAGTTATAGTTTCCAAGATGTTTGAATACAGAAGATAGGTATGCAGTAAGTAACGATGTAACATACGTGTGAAACAGAGAGTAAACACATACATGACCTTTCCCACCAAACAGAAGGTAGACACGTACAAGTCTGCTCCCTGGAAACAAAAAGTGGTTCGACGAGGTGACACAACTAGGTCATGGTTAAATTGATAAAGTATTGTCACATATTATTGGAAAAATTTCAATAAAATGTTTGTAATGAGCTATATGATACTACAGACTAAAATATAGTTTAGGTATGTCGCATCACACGGTTGATCGATAAAACAATCAGCATTGTGTGTACACACAGCAACGTGATCACGAGAAGTTATACATAACGTGTTGTCATGAAACACAGATTTGCAACACGATGACACACAAGATCATTTCTAATAAAAGTGATAACACTCTATTGATCTTGTTCCTTCTAAATTTTTCCTTTACAAAAACAGTAGACGTCATTTATTGATGGAACTGTAAAAAAATTACTCGCAAAATGGCATTTGCAGGCACCAGCGTAATGGCACCCATCTAACCAGAAATACTGTTACATGCCATCTTGAAACATTATCTAACAGTTTCAAACTAACTCTGGAAATAAGTCAAATAGAAAGTACAATAACATCATATATGTACATAGGCATACAAGTTTAAGGAATGCTTCTAGAAATACTGTTACATGCCGTCTTGAAACATTATCTAACAGTTTCGAACTAACTCTGGAAATAAGTCAAATAGAAAGTACAATAACATCATATATGTACATAGGCATACAAGTTTAAGGAAAGCTTCTAGAAATACTGTTACATGCCGTCTTGAAACATTATCTAACAGTTTCGAACTAACTCTGGAAATAAGTCAAATAGAAAGTACAATAACATCATATATGTACATAGGCAT